TCACTGAAGTCCAGAAAGCCAAGAACACTTGTAGTCTTGCTGTTCTAAGTACTGCCTYTAAGACTGGTTGAATGCACTGACACTGACACGTGGGCTGAAACAAGGTCCTGTGTGCCGGTTTTGGCTGAAGTGTCAGGTGTCTAAAAGCATGCTCAGGTTTTGATGACATCAGAGAATTGTTTCTCTAACTTAAGAACTACATAGATCATGTGAGTATTGTTAYATTTTTGCAAAACCTTCCATTTCTTCCCTCTACCTCCTCATTTTTTTTGTAAGCAAGATTGAATAATGTATATGATTTTTATGGGCCAGTTAATGAAAGTTGTTGGGGATGTGGAAGCACATACATTTGTCTTTTTCRGTTCGTTAACAGATTTCCTGAAGATCTGGTCACACCTTTCAGTACCTGAAGGGAGCCTACAAGAAAGATGGAGAGGGACTATTTACTCCAAGGGCATGGARTGACAGACAAGGATAATTGCTTCAYACTGACAAAGAGGAGGTTTAGACTGGATATGAGGAAGAAATTGTTCCCYRTGAGGGTGGGGAGGCCCTGGCACAGGTTGCCCAGAGAAGCTRTGGCTGCYCCATCCCTGGCAGTGTYCAAGGCCAGGCTGGATGGGGCTCTGAGCAACCTGGGAYAGTGGAAGGTGTCCCTGCCCATGGCAGGGGGTGGGAACTGACTGATCTCCAAGGCCTCTTCCAACCCTAACTGCTTTAAGGTTCTATATGGCAGCTCCCATTTAGGTACTTAGATTCCAGAATCATTGAGCATCCGACTTGTCCAGTCCCTAATGAAAGCTGCTGGGTKTTAAAATCCTTTTGAAAACATGGGCAACTTAAAAAAATTCTKTGTATGGAGATGAGCACTCAAAATAAAAACTGCTGAGCATTTTTGAAAACTGAGTCCTAAGAATCCGTCTTTCATYCTCTGAGCTGAGGATGACTGAGCAGCAATGTTAGTAAGAGCAGGCTCTGTCCCTCTGTGGCAGCTAGGGACCAGATCAGGTGCCTAGAGTTAATTTTCAAATAAACAAGGCTGCATGTTGGTTCCCTGGCATCTTGGGGATTTCTGAGGACTGCWGACGACTTTTCTTGGGGCAGAGGACTGCTGGCTCTAGGGGATCTGCCAGCCTTTGAGGCTTCCATTGTGTATTCACCCTCAGCTTCTGMACGGTTCTCTATGCTGCATGTGAAATATCCAAAATTCTGTGGGTCCTGGAGAGCAAACTGAGGATGCTCCATAGCAATGGGCTGGGAACAATTGGAAGAAAAGGCATGAATTGCCAGCTGCCTTTGACAGTTGTTTTTCTTACTGAATATGGTATTTTGTCACTTACCATCYATACTGTATTGCATAGCAGATTGTTGTTTACTTTTATATTCTGCTTTTAGAATTTTTGCAACCAGTAAATGACTTATCAAGAAAATATGTTTATGTAGAAAATGAAGTGTCAAATTATCCACTGTTTCGATTACTTGGGTGGTTGTTATTTTTTTTCCATAATTGACTCCTCTGAAAAGCCTTTCTTCTCAGAGAGGCCGCCGTGTTGTCAATCGTGCCAAATTGTATGAGATTATGTGCTACAGTTTTGTGACAGAAACTGATACTCATTAGGAAGTTGTGATCACTGTAATAAAAAGTAATGAAAAGGAGATGCACAGTTGTCTATTCAGAACATGACAAGCATTCTCTTCTTTCAGTGTCTGTCAATCTGCAGCTCCTTTAAATTACCACTTGTGCATAGAGAATTCACTCTTCCATTGACTAATCTTGTTGAGACTGTACATTCACTAAGAGACATTTCTAATGGGTCCACTGCTTATGGAAGGCTTTTGGCAACTGACTTGTCTTGGCAGAGGGAGGAAGAGAGAAGAAGGGAAAATTGGAAAAATATTCTTTTCCTCTGTTGGTCAGTCACAGTTCTGAGCACTTCTGCAGTGAGAGAAGTGGTTGGTTGCACACATTAGCACCTTACAACATTGCAAAGACTGTTCTCTCCCTGCCTCGCTTCACAGCCGTATATAAATGTTAGTACCTTGACCTCAAAGAAAACAGCCAAAGGCGAGGTCAGCACATTAAGGGTGGCAGTACCATATGGAGGCACAGCTCAGGCTTCTCTTCACTTATCTCCAGCAAAGTGCACATAAAAGTAATCAGGGTTCACATCTACTTGCTCTCACTCCTGATTTAGCTCAGTTAACTAGTTGAGGCAGTAAGTTAATTTTTCCTTGGTCATTGGTATTCAGGAAGCACTTTGGAGATGTGACTAAGATCAGAGCTCCCTTATTTTAGTCATTGTGTGCACATGTACTAAGAACTTAAATCTCTTTTATTGAGCCAATGTATTTTGTCTTGCCTTGTTGCAGGCTTAGCTGACAGAGAGCCAGTCACTTTTTAAGCTGCAGTAACCTTCCTGCATGCCTTACCCCAGGGATGCACACCCTTCCCTGCTGGGATAACTGTGTTTGAGCAAGACTGCTGCTGGCCCCTTGTGTTTGTGAGTGACAGATCTAAATCCATGCTTAACAGCCTTCCAAGGCTGGACAGATAAYGCTGAGCATCATGAGTGCTGATTGCTGGGGGATCTTTTGGAAGAGATCTCCTCCTTATGTGATCCCCATGGCTTCTTTCACAGAGTACAGCAGCTCCTCTCAGTGTTCAGAAACATCAGCTGCTTCACTGCCATCCGTGAATGTGCTGCTTGACTGCTGTCTGCCCCTTGAAGAGGGTTACATGTCATCAGCATCCTACAAAACACCGTTGTTTAAATACCTTTCCTGAAAAGAAATGCTGAATTGCTCCAATTGCTGCAGCATTTTAACTCTGAAATTGTTCTCCCCAAGTCTGCTCTGAATGAACTGAAAATTATGGTCAGCATCAGGCAGTTAGTTAAAAAGTTTTTCAAGATGACACCTTATCTCACTGCTGTTATTGACAGGAATAATCCAGTATTGAATCACTACCCATTTCAGCTGTAAATACTGAACTGGATTAAGTAGACTTTTTCTCTTACTAAAATCCTTTCCTATGCATTAATGAAATGCTATTTGAAATGGCAAGGATAATCCTTCTTCGCTTTCCCACCTTTATCTTTTGAGATCAGTTGCATGAAGGTCAGTAGTAAAGGAATGTTGTGGACAGAGGGTTTATCCTTAATCCTGATGTTGCTTGGAAGCAGCTTCATAGCTGCCTCTCACTAGTTTGTGCCACCTATGTTCACTGGTTCTGTGGGTACAGGAAAGGACAGCAGTCACCTCATTTCTTTTTATTTCCTAGATGCTTTTCTAGGCTCCAATATTAGCTGAGTGCCTGGCAGTCGTTGCTATTGCAGGCCTCTCACTGTCCTTTCTAGAGGTGGAAAAAGTGGTCTACTCATTTATGGAGGTCACCCTGAGGTGCAGAGAGAGTGACTAATTCCTTGGTCACAGAAGGAGCTGAATCCCATCCCCTGCCATGCTTGTGCAGCATCCGAGTAATAGCTGAAAAATAAGCAAGATATGATCTGGGTAAAATCCCAGCTTTCTCCTCCAGGAACATTAGGTTCACCCAAGATGTTTTCTGTCTTCTTGTCCAGAAGACACTAATTTTTTAGAAGTCTACACAAGTAGACTTCTGTCTTGAAGGGCGAGCTGGAACTTTTCAAGAGGAAGTGAATTCTTCTGCCTCATTTGGGACAAACTGCAATTGTATGTTGTTTTTGAGAAGAATATCTTCTGGGCTTGTCTTAGTCTTAAATAGTTTCATTAKCATTAACCCCATTGACTGAAGTTGTTTTTTACAGAATTCCTGAAGTTTCCATTGTCTCCAGTCTTTTCTTTGCCTTTAGTGTAGTCTAGGTCTTGGCACTCTTCCTCTGAAGAGATGCTGTCATTCCTTTYCTTTCCTCCATCAGTTCCTGTCTATGCTTTGCAAAAAGGAAAATAAGTCATGTCAGTAGGTAGCACGATATTCTCAATCTTTCTTTTCCCCATCTTTGCAAGGAAGCCACTGTTTCACCGAGATGCTTTTCCCACCAAAGTTCACTATAAAGACCAGTATAATCTATGGGAACAGATGGTGTTTTTTGGTAGATTTTGCTAAAGGGGCATCAGTGGCAGGTGCCATTTCAACCAGACTGTATAAAGGTTTTACCASAAAAGTGTGAATAATTTTTTCCTCATGAATAGCTCACAAAGGGCACTGTGATTACAGGTACTAGTTTGACCTTCAGGACAGTCTTCAGGCCTGGCATTCTCCTGGGATTTTTTTTGAAGGGAGATGTTTGGCTGGTTGTGCTGGTTGGGTTTGGGTTGTGACCTGTCATTTGAACTTCATGTAGCAATTGATGAGACTGGCACACATCTCTTCATTCTCTCTCAGTGTGACACGTAAGATGCCTGGACAGTCTCCTTCCAGCTTCTGCAGTGCCAAAGGCAACCTTGCTGTCAAGCACAAATATTATGTTCAGTCAGAGCAGACATCAGTTGGGAGCAGGCCTGGAAAATGAACTCCTCCCACGTGTCTACAAAWTGCAGCAATAGATGTTATTAATAAAATACCAATGAAAGGTTTTTAATGTACTGGAATTTCTTGCCTAGCAGTACTGTATGATACTGGTTATGCAACACTCAGTTTGCAAGTGTTCTTAAAAAGAAGTTAAACAAACCTCTTTAAGARATTATCTTGGATGTGGGTAATATACCTTCAGGCAAAGGRATGGGTGAGATTTCTTTAGCTCTAMTTTTTATCATTTGTTGAACATGTTAACAGAACTCTGGAAATATTTTGGCATATTTACCATCTGTTGACCTGTAAGAAATGATGTCTTGGAAAATCAGTGTAGAAAATTTCTGCCTAATTGGGTAATTTGAATGAATTCAGGAATTGAGGGCTTCTTTTTCAGTATGCCTGTTGAGACTGGAAAGGGRTTTGACAACATGGGTGTATGTGTGATAGATAGCTTCATAAACAAGCTTTACTCATAGCAAATATGTCTATGCTTTTGTTTAATGCATAGGAAACAATGTTATGAGGACCATCCACGGGGTAGGAGAGATGATGACCCAAATGGTGCTGAGCAGAGGGTCTGTGTTTCCCATCAGTACCCCTGACATACAGCCAAGCATTCACCCAAGCAAGCAAGCCAGCACAGCAGACAGTGAAGATGTGATCGTAATGGACACCAAATTGAAAATCATTGAGATTTTGCAGGTAACAAAGAGGGGTGGAATATTAAATAGCAGTCATTTCATGGCTCTTTCTTTACAGAGTGGCAAGGTCTGTTACCTACTGTTCTTACGATTCACTGGGTTCTCATTTAGAAATAACTCTTTGAGGTGAGGAAGAATACTCCTCTGTGTGAACAACTGGACAGTTGTGGTCCCCACCCTGTTGTACCAACTTCACTTTCGAAGGAACGAGATGCTGCAGAAACTTTCTCACTGTAGCTGTGGAACATCAGAACTTGTGCTCTAATAAACCTCACTAATATTTCCTGAAGACAGCTTGTCTGTTTCCAGTTTCTTTACACTCAGTTTACACTGGGGTAGTTGCCTGTTTGAAATATCTGACCCCCCCTGTTGCAGAAGTTGGATGAAGGGCAGAGCTCTCCCTGGCCTCACTGAAGTTTTGTGCGAGGCTGTGCACTTCTGAGGTGCATTTCAGATTTCCACAGTTGGACTGAGAACAGTCTGTGGGCTGCTGTGATTTTCTCCCAGCTGACCTGACAGGCTGTGTGACACCAGCCTGCCTCCTGAGATGCAGTTTTCACTTTGTGCTGTTAAAGAGGGAACTGGCACACGTTTGCTCTGTGTATTGAATCCCTGTTTCCTGCAACACTTAGGCCCTGAAGGAATGTTTTGTTGTTTTCTATAAATTCTCTGGATTTGTTGYTACCAATGTCACTTTTGAAGGATTCCATTTGTTCTGACTGCTCMTAAATGATTTAGATGACTCTAATTACTTGTCTTCTGAAAGGCTATAAATTGTTAGAATATACTCAATACTGCATCTTTTGGTTCCAGAGCTCCTTTTGTTTAAAATGTGGAGTGAAAGAG